TTCTTTTTTATGTTTGTTACTCTCTTGTAACACCTCTTATCTTCTGGCCCTCATATGACCTTATGCAGTTGCGAGCGCCGTAAAACCTCTACTAAAACAAGCAAACTTCTCTTTCAGGTTTCAACGAAGTGGGCGGTATCGCGGCCCTGTACGAGAAATACCCACAAGCCATCGCCTCCACGAATCTCATGGGTTCCAGCAACAGTACTAATGTCACAATGAACAGGTAATAATAGCAATAATAATAAATGACACATATAGCGCTCAACCCCGAATAAAGTACACAGGCTCTGAGCGCTTTACAATACAGTACAACGTACAACAGTAATATAAAGCGTTGTGTTCTGACTAAAAGGAAATCACTCCAAATATTCATCTTACTAATTTAAAAACAGAAAAACACAGGTAACTAACTATCAGCGGTAGCAATATCACTATGGACAGGTAATTATTATCAACACTCCCAGTAGCACTATGAACAGGTTACTATCGACAATGCCAATAGCACTATGGACAGGTAACTAACTATCAAGAGTAGCAATAGCACTATGGAAAGGTAATTTCAACAATACTAATAGTAGTATAATGGACAAGTAATATCAACAATACTAATAGTAATAGCAGTATAATGGACAAGTAAAATCAACAATACTAATAGCAGTATAATGGACAAGTAATATCAACAATACTAATAGCAGTATAATGGACAAGTAATATCAACAATACTAATAGTAATAGCAGTATAATGGACAGGTAAAATCAACAATACTAATACTAATAGCAGTATAATGGACAGGTAAAATCACCAGTACCAGTACCAGTGTGTACAGGTAACTTAATGGTAACAAGGCTGTTCCTGGACATTTTTAACCCCAGCCAGCCAGGTCTTTTTGGTCCTCCTCTTAATAAATTGTACACCTACGTTTAATTGGTCGCTTTTAAGGACAAGCGGGCTAACCCAGATATCGGGGGTTTCCAGAAATCTTGACCCAAACCAAACGAGGGCATCTCTCTACCTATAGGAGAAGTTTGGTTTCACTGGTGTGTATATTAAATTGTTTGGTTATAGAGAAAACGTTCCTTGTCTTTTAAAGAAACTGAACGAGGGCCCAAAAACTTTACCTTCGTTTTTCTCAAAACGGCATTTTTTTTTTGATAGCCCCCTTGTGCTTAAAAGCGACCAATTGTGAGGCAATGTGGTGAAATCAGGCGCTCGTCAAACTAATGAAATTGAAGAAACAGACACTTTTCCACCCAACTGGTAATTTTTATCGAATTTTCGTTTTTTTGCCTCGACACCTTTTTGTCAATATAAAAACACCTTTCCATGTGAATTTGACAGAAGAAAAAAAACGTTGATTAAAGGGACAAAATAATATGTAACTTGGTCTTTTTCAAGGATTCTCAAGCTATTGAAATTGTCAAACTTTGGCGTCCATTTTCATGTTAATTTAACCACTGAAACCCGATGACCCCTCAACCTTCAATCGCTAATATATCGACTTCTATTCATCATAGATGGAGATTTTGTTAATCGAAAGCAACACAAATAAACAAGCTTTAAGACGTTACCAATAACCCCAAATACCCAAATATTGACGAGCGCCTGATTCCACCGTGTCGTGACACAATTGTGTTGTTTTTTCTCTCAGCTGCGGTATCCCCACCTCCGATGCCTTCCACCTGCTGAGACCGGCAGACGCCGGAGATCTGCCCTGGCCGGGAAACGTCTTCGGCATCACCATCCTCAGCAGCTGGTACTTCTGTAACGATCAGGTTAGTGCTTGTCCGTTTAATTGGGGTCAAACAGTGTGTTTGAAGCTTTATTTTCTTGTGGATTAACACACAGGAAATGTGTTAATCAGTACCGCTTTTCGGTCGCTACCTGGATTCGAATCCGGCACCTTTGAAAGAGAGGCCAACACCTTAACCTCTAGGCCACGAGAGCCCTCTGCTCCAGCCTTCGTACTAGAGGCTGCGATTTTCATTCAAAAGAAGAAGAAGAAGAAGAAGAAGAAGAAGAAGAAGAAGAAGAAGAAGAAGAA